CCCCCCCCCCCCCCCGCCCCAAACACGTTTCATGTGCCTCAGCTTCAGCCACTCGCACCTCTCGTCTTCTTCTTCCTTGAGTTTTGTGTACATCTTTTAGTCTTTTTTTCGGTATTTTTCTCTATGTTCTTTTCATGATAACTCGAGTTAAGGTTCATATTTCATCTGGGTTTCTTTTACAATATTTTAGATCACATCATTACAAATCCATTAAGCTCAATTTCAACTTCTATGACGCAATATACCTCATGAAATTTAAGTTTGAAGTCACAGGTTTGGCACATAGATTTGCTTTCAACTTCAACTCTCGTTTTAAGCTCTGTGAAAGTTTTTAAGAATCCTAGAAGGGCCTATAACTTTGTAAGTCCAGCATTGTTGGTCTTTATTAGATAGTTAGGTCGTGCGCTAAGGGTGTATCGAAGGGAATAGGAGGTGGAGACTCCAGTGATTCAGTCACATTGCCATTGAACTTGTTAAGCTTTCTTAGTTATTTTTACCGTGGAAGTCTACTCGATTCTAAAGGCTGCCTATGCAGTTTAAATCTCATCTCACGTTTTCAAGACGCTCGAGATCAAATAGTCATCATGACTCTAGCCACCCTAGTTCTAGTTGTGTGCAGATAAACATGCTTAATAGGGAGAACACACAATCAATTACTTAGAGTTAAACACACGATAACATGCATTCTTATAAGCTCAACAAGGAGATAACATCCATTAATCGCCCGAAGTATCAATCATAATATCTCATCCTTCATTCTAGCACAACGGAAAACATTAAAATTGGTATGCATCATAAGAACTCATCTTAAGGGCATTTCGTAACATTTTCATTCAAAAATGCCCTTATGAGGTCCTAAACATGCATATTCTATCCACCTAAGGTAAGATAAGAAAAGTTTGAGTGACTACTTACATGGATGATGTGTGGCTTCCCAAGCTTGCTTTTCAGCGTGTTAAGAGCTCCAACACAACCAACTCCGAACTTATCTTTGACACTCGTGTCGCCTCATTCTTTCTAACCATACTTATGTCTCAGCTTGGCTTTAATACACACAGTTAGTGTGTTGGATTATGCACCGTTATGACCTCCACATGTATGATTGTGACATGTTGTGACCCTCACCTATGCAAATGAAATAGTTTTAGTTTATTTCAAATATATAGCAAAATTTATTTTGAAGTGAGAGTGGTTGGGAAGAAGGCAAAAAGTGGTTAAATTTCTTTTGGATTTATCCTCCCTAAATTGATAGCACTTAGGTGGACCAAACTCAACTCTTAACCCTCGCCTTCTAGAATCCACAACACAACAAACACAAACTACATGCCTCCTTTTTCTTACTTTCCATTTTCCTCTAATAAAATAATAATTAAAAAATATATATTTTGCGGTTTTTTTTTTTTTTAAAAAAAAAGCATTTTGGTTGGAAATGGAATCAGAGTCTAAGGTTTTGGTGGGGCCCACTAGATATTTTATTTATTTATTTATTTATTGTACCATACCATTTCATTCCACCTGTCTTCTTTATTCTTTCCAGTCCTTTGACTCCTCTTATTTATATATATTTCTCTTCATCTTTTAAATTTACAATACCACCCCATCCCCCCGCTTCCCTCCCATCTCCGATTGAAATGGAGGGGTGAGATTGCAATTAAAATTAAAAAAAGGACCAAAACAGCAAAAGTAGAAAAGTATAGAGGGTGGGCCCACAATAATAAAAATGATTAAGAACCACTCAATCCATCTCACCAACCCGGTCAACCACTGCCCGCTGCCCGAGAATAAGAACGTTAAAGAAAGAAGCCCCGAGTCAATTGGCTCCCTTCAATAAATAATTTTAATTTATAATTTATTTTCTCTCTCTTCACCAACTCCCTTAGGTTGGAGATATATATTTCTCTCTCCTCCCACCACTCCCACCCTTCAATCATTCCCATTCTCAATCACTGCGTTTGGAGCTCTCTCTTTCAATGGGAAGATCTCCTTGTTGTGAGAAACAACACACCAACAAGGGTGCATGGACCAAAGAAGAAGACCAACGCCTTATCAACTATATCAAACTCCATGGCGAGGGCGGTTGGAGATCTCTCCCGAACGCTGCAGGTCCGTGAAAGATTCGAATATCTCGACTTTTAGTCACTCTATCATTTCTCATCGTTTCTGATTGAACTAACAATAGGGTTGCTTCGGTGTGGAAAGAGCTGCCGGTTGAGATGGATCAATTATCTACGTCCCGATCTCAAGAGAGGGAACTTCACTACGGAGGAAAACGAACTCATCGTCAATCTTCATAGCCTGCTCGGTAACAAGTAAGTGTCAAATCACGAGGTCTTATGTCTAAAAGTTAGTTAAGGTTCTGAGATTACTGGTTCTAAAGTATATTTAGTCCTAAATTATAGTTTACCATATATATCATATTTGATTCTTTATTATAGACTGAGTGGTTTATCGTATATATCAATCTCCATGGTCTGCACGGTAACAAGTAAGTGTCAAATCACGAGGTCTTATGTCTAAAAGTTAGTTAAGGTTCTAAGATTACTGATTCTAAAGTATATTTAGTTCTGAATTATAGTTTATCACATATATCATATTTGACTCTTTATTATAGGCTGAGTGGTTTACCATACATATCAATCTCCATGCCCCGGTAACAAGTGTCAAATCACGAGGTATTATGCCTAAAAGTTAGTTAAGCTTATGAGATTGTCGTCAATTATAGTATACCATATATATCATATTTGACCATAGACGGAATAGTTTACCATATATATCATATTTGACGCAAATATCCAGTATGATTGAGGATATGTTGTATTCTATTACTGTTTAACCTAGAGAGTTTTTATTATACACAAATATCTTGTATCGGTTCTTAGCAAAGATTCTGACTAGTGATTTGACGGGATGATTATAATGACTATCAGGTGGTCTCTAATTGCGGCGAAACTACCTGGGAGGACGGATAACGAAATAAAAAACTATTGGAATACGCACATCAAACGAAAGCTTTATAGCCAAGGGATCGACCCGCGAACCCATCGTCCATTGATCAATAAAGGAAGTACTTGTTTGACGAGGGAGGTGGAAGATTCAAACAGCAACAGCAGCGGTAGCTGTTTGACGACGGAGGTGGAAGAAAACCCTGAGCTGAATCTCAATCTAGAGCTCTCCATTGGCCTTCATCCCCATAAACCAACCACCAAAAGCCCCGGCGGCGGTGGCGGCGGTTCCTGTTTTAGTCCAATTTTAAGCACCACTGACAGAGTTAGAAACGGAAACTTCCTCCTCCAACCCCATCTCTTTACATGTTACACATCGTCCACTTAATATTTTATATAAATTGTTGTCTCACATTTTCATTTCTCAGATTTTTGTAATATATATGCTTATTATATGGTTTATTAGAGGTATAATATATGATCCATATATAAAATCTTTATCATGTGATTAATCCAATTCAAGCATAGCTCAACCGATAGAAATATTTAATTATCATTTTAAAAGCAAACCGTTCCATTATCACAATTTTGCCCGAGTTCTTGTCTAAACTTAAAATTAAAAAAAAAAAATTTAAATTCGTGGAAAATAATGATTCAGTTGTTTAGACCATTTATTCAATTTTTATGTATTGCGAGCTAAATCAGAGTATATTTTTATAAGTGTGAGATACCACAGTTGAATATTCTTTATAAATATGTGAAAACCTTTCCCTAGTAGACGTACACATGAGGCTGACGGCGATATGTATCACGCCAAAGCGAATAATATCTACATCGATGAGTTTGGGCTGTTACAAATAGTATCAAATGCAGACACTAGGCAGTGTGCCAATGAGGACGATGAGTTCCAAGGAGGTAGATTGTGAGATTTCATATCGGTTAGAGAGAGGAATGAAACATTTCTGATAAGTGTGTAGAAATTTCTCTTTAGTAGATACGTTTTAAAACCGTGAGACTAACAACGATACGTATCAGGCCAAAGCGGGTAATATCTACAGCGGTGAGTTTGGGCTACTACAAATAGTATCAAATGCAAACATTAGGCAGTGTGCCAACGAGAATGATGAGCTCCAAGGAAGTGGATTATGAGATCCCATATCAACTGGAGAGGGGAACAAAACATTTCTTATAAGGGTGTGAAAACCTCTCCTTAGTAGACGCACTTTAAAACCGTGAGGCTGACAACGATATGTATCAGGCCAAAGTGAATAATATCTACATCGGTGAGTTTGGGCTGCTACAAATAGTATCAAATGCAGACATTAGGCAGTGTGTCAACGAGGACGATGAGCTCCAAAGAGGTGGATTGTGAGATCCCATATCGGTTGGAGAGGGGAACGAAACATTTCTTATAAGGGTGTGAAAACCTCTCTCTAATACACACATTTTAAAACCGTGAGGCTGACAATACGTAACGAGCCAAAACGGATAATATCTGTTAGTGGTGGATTAAATCCATGAGTTAATCCAAGTTATAAAGTTTTCATTTATTTGAATCAAACCAAACTTCGACCGACAGATATTGATATCTTCCCTCGAACGAATTTGGTCGATAATGGGATATAACTATGAGGTATAAATGGTTGTTTCCATTAGAAAATATTGGTCCAATTATGATTGATATTAATGAGGATGATATCAGCAAAGGAAAAGGCATATCTTGCTACCCCCATCAAGATTTTAGGCCCCAAGATAGTGTCACCTATAGTAAGTTTCAACCACACAATTCATTAAATATTAATGGAATTGAAGTTTGAAAAGACATAACCAATATATTTGAAATCATTCAAAACAAAATTCAAATATGAAGCAAACCAATATTAAATGACATCAAAATGTTGACTTTCAAAATTGTGACATTTTGACCGAGACCATTCTAGATGGTTGAACAAAAGACGACGAGACATGAACATGTATATTAGATATATATTAAATAAAATATATTTTTTAAATTTGAATGAGATTTAAAATTTAAGTCACCCATGACTGGTGGAGCAACAGATGAACAAAAGATGACTTGGAGACTCGATCAAAAGTATTTATGATGAAGAACATGTCTGATGGACAGTTTGGTGAAGTAATCTGATCAAACAATTGATAGGCGAAAATTTGTTGATGATCGACTATTGCTATTAGCTATTGGAAATTAAGGGTGTACATGAGTTGGGCGGAATAAATTTTTGGAACTAACCCAAAAGTTCGAGTTGATTGGATTGATAATCCAATTAACGTGAAATAATTTCACAACACAACCGTCTATTTTTTAGTTAGCTTGGGTTGAGTTGTCGGACTATTCTGTAATTGGATGTGTATTTACTGTGTCGAGCATGGATCTACCACGATTTTCCTGAGTAGGTAATTGGATGTGTATTTACTATTCTAAACACGGCCTACACATGTGAGTATGGACCCACTAGTCGGTTTGCACACCTCCTGGGCCCCTTTCCTGGTCGAGGACACGATCTACACATGTGAGTATGGACCCATCAGTCGATCTGCACACCTCCTGAGCCCCTTTCCTAGTTAGGCTAGCATTCTCTGGTGTTGTTGCAGGAAACCGAGTAGGAATAGTGATCGTCACAACATTATGATAAAACATAATGATATTCCTTGTAATGTACGTATTCGTAGCATTATATGTATATATATATATATATATATATATATATAAAGGATACCCTCCGATGCATGAGCTTTAGGATATATTTCCTATAGAACACATTTGCTCGATTCTCTTAATACTCCTAATTCATAATCGATTGACCTTCTCTCTTGCATTTGAGTCTTTGCCAAAATTCTCGAGCTTTCCAGCAATGAAAGCTTATTAATCAAACTCGCCCATCCTCTTTCAATTTAAATTTCCAAATCAAGTTCCAGCTACGTGTCCTTTAGACCCTTTTTACTTAACCAGCTCACCTACGTAAACCACTTTCCTAAAGTCTGTTTTCTTCGATGGTTACCATCATTAAATCCAAAACTTTCTGGACCTTTATTCGACGAGGTCAACGAGCTCGACCAACTTTAATGAACCATCCTTACTCAAAAGCAATCCGAACAAGAGGATATGACCAACTTTATTACCATCCCTAGAATTGGACATATACAAAATGTTATTTTGTATGGTAATAACACCTACACCTACCGTGTGGGCCCATAATTAACTCTCATTAATGCCCATAACTCGACGGACAACTCAATTTTAACTTAATTCCAAGACTGTCCCCACCCAATTTCTAAATTTTTTAAAAACTAAATAACTCTTATTAAATAATAAATTGGGACGGATTGTTCGGGTCATTTAGTACCTAAAATATTTATTTATTTATTTTTAAATATATAATTGAGATTTTAAAATGTTACCCTCCAAATAGTTAAAAATTATTTTAAAAATTGTTCGAGAAAAATAACTAAAAATAATAATAATTATAAATATATGTATTTTTTTAAAAAAATTAACAACAAATTAGCGTTAAATAAGGTTCAAATTAATTTAGTTTTAAGGGAATTCATGAACCAACGTGTCATCGATGAATAAACACAGTCTAGACTGAATTTTTTAGAACATCTAATTATATATATATATATCATTTTTTTAATTTTAATTTTAGGATTTACAAAATTATGTTTTTTTTTTTACCTTTTTCCTAAATAAAAAATTGAATTCTTAATGAAATTTCAAAAACAAAAACAAGATTTAATTTTTTTTTTAACATATCCTAATAATTAAATAAAATAATGTTTATTAGCTTTATTTATTTATTTTTAAATTTGTGCTTGTTTTTATGCTATTTTTAAAAATAGAGAATTAAGCAAGAAAAAACTAAAAATAAAAAGCTTAATTAAAAAAGAAAATAGAAAATAATGAATAATTATGAAACAAAACCTAAATAATAATAATTAACAATAAAGATTCGCACCGCTACTTCTAGAGCACATGAAATTAAAGTCAAGATCTCGTTTAGAACTTACCGCAAACTTCGTTGGAAAAATCCCAAATCACCAATTGAGGAAGAACTGGTCAGAGACTCAAATTTCCACAAACCCTAAACCACAAATCAATTCATCTCTGTTCTTTCCATCCGATTTCCGTCTTCAGGTATGCTTCTTTTTCTGCTCCTCTTTCGTACTTTCATTCGATACTCTCGGATTTTTCAATTTCTTGTACTGATTCTTGTTATTTTTATTGTTTTCCAGTATTTGAATCGTTGATTCTCAATTTCCAGCTTCTGATTCTCGTCATTTTTGCGTGCAATGATCCCCCGCCCTGTTCTTCGTATCTCGGTTTCACTCAAATTTTAGGTTTCTTCGTTGGTGATGTCTTTCTTTACTTTTCATTTCCTGCTGCTGCCTCCAAATTGATATTTAGTTTGTCGATTAAGTGCGATTTGAGAGTTATGATGGAAAGAATTTGTCGATAGCTTTCTGTTTTTGTTTACAAAACGGTGGATTGATTGAGTTGCTTGTAAAAAGTAAAACTATTGTCACAGATTTACTGTTTATGAACAGCTATTTTAGTAGTTCTAAAGAGCTGTTTGGTGCGATTTCCAGATTTTTGAAGTTGTTTTTTTGCTCATTAATGAGATGTCTTTTAGTAAAACAGTTTGTCATGTGAACATTTTAAGGAAAATACTTTTGCTTAACATTTTTGAAAGATTGGAAGAAGTAATTATTTAGTGGTTAGAACATTAAAGTGACTTTAAAGTATCGTTATGATTCTTAAAATCATTTTGAAAAGCGTTTTGAATGAGTTAAGAACATTTGTTATTATTTCAAAATTCATATTAAACTCACTTAATATGAAAGATAAACAGTGTTTCTTGGCTTTTGAAAGATGATTTTCAACATTCTAAATACTTCTGATATACTTAGAAGTGTTTGAAATTCAAACCTTTAACCTCTTGGTCGAAGATTTATATTTTATGCTTGTTGAATTATGTTCATGTTGGCGAAGCCGCTTCTTCTAAGATTACTCAATTAGAACAAATGCTTGGTACTCTTAGACATTATTCTGAAGTCACTCTATCCAACTTCAAAAGATGAAAATACAGAATCTCTTAAATGAACAATCAGGATTGAGTTTGTTCTAAAAAGTCAGTCCCTTAGCCAGTCCTCAGGAGCTTAGTGCATCCTAGGGATCATTCACGCAAAAATGACATGAATTATAGGTCGGTTTAGCAAAGACATAATCATTTGAAGGGAACTAAGGCCAGCGGTCTTCTATTTCATGTATGCATTTCATACACAGGCAAAGAACGGTGGAACAAGGTATGCTCGAACTCTTATTCAAGTTAAATTTACTTCTGCATTTCATAAATAATGGAGTTCTTTCATTTTCCCCTTGCATGTTTTCCATATTTAGATTTCAACTTCTGTTTCTCCTTGGTTGGGAGCTT